ACCCCGCCAGTTGACTCAATGACAGACCGTATGATACAGCGCGAGCGTGCTAACCATTCGGCCATCCAACCCTCCGGTTCCATACAGTGAGCTATGAGGGAAATTTTTCCCGGACAGCCGCGCTGCTCTTATATCGAATTCTATCTGCTACGCCAATGTGTACACGGTACCTCGGGTTTCGTACCACCGGAACGACTAGACAGCTGTCCTTGTCACCACTTACAGGGAGAAAACAGGCCAGAAAACCACGATGAACTTTCTTGGTCGACACCGGAAGCGAATCTGCGACCTCAAGGCTAGCGAGCTGGGCTTTATAAACAATTGAACTTACTCTCGAAAATTCTCTACAAAAGTTTATGTTTACAATCTAATGTTAACTCTTTCATCATAGGCGTACGGGGAAATTTTTGACTGCGGAGGGGGGGGGGGGGGGCGGTGGTGGTTGGTGCCCAAAAAATGTAGTTAGGTTCTTAGTATGTTACATAATATTAATAATAAATTCGCTGTTAAGTTGGATACATTCAAGAACGCAATATTATTTTATACAACTTTTACAAAGTACAATTGTGGGCCCAAATTTTCCTAGCCCCCCAACCCTCCCATCTCGTACGCCTATGTCTTTCATTAAGGATGCATTATGTAAGAGCTAAACATACCTATATCAGGTCAGTCAACTGGCGTGGTTTCGATTCCCCGGTTGTACGTGACAAGGAGTAAGCTAGCCAGTCCAATATCGTGGGTTTTCTCCGGGTTCTCCACCCCCTCCCACTGCTAAAGACCCCTACGCGTAAGCGAAATATCGAAATACAATTGAACCAAATGTTAGACCTGAAATGGCCCAGTTTGTGGCTAGTGGACGTTACCCCCCCCCCCCCCTCTGTCTGCAACATCTTGTCAAAGTTTAAAACATTGATAACTTTGCTGAATGAAATTCCGAATATATTTTTGAACCATTATAACAAGAACGACCATGCATGGGGAGCCACGGTGGCTAAGTGGGTAAGACGCTGGCTTGCAGGGACGCCGGAACCCGGGTACCAGGGTATACAAATGGTACCCTGCACTTTGCTGGGGTATACATGTATACCCATGCCCTAATGATGAAAGTTTTCAACCTTTTTACTAGTCTATTCCATTTTTAAATGACAAATATGTAATTGCTCTCTGGTCGGTCGCGAACCGCTTCTAGCACTCTCATTATCAGCTATCAGTGCATGCCTTGGCCAGTTGTCTATAGATGAATTGCTCATGATACGAAAATTGTGAATAATCAGACTTTTGTCTCTTTCATTATCATGTATTTGAAAGGGTTTTGTGTTGGAATTTGGAATGCTAGAGGCGCTCTAAACAGCGTTCTCGGAATTAAAAAAATTCAAAATTTTCTAGAGGCCGGGGGGTGAGAACCCCCACCCCATTAGCCCAGTCGGAACAGAACAGTAGGACGTTAATCCAATTTCATTTACATAATGCATCGTTAAAGTGGGTTAAACGTAAGACTTTACAAGCCAATGTAATCTGTTGTTATTTGTCGACCTTCCAGACTATTTTAGAAATATTAACACTTTAAGCTCCATGTAATGCCCATTGTTCAATTTTGTAAGTCGCTTACTGTAAGCTAAAATAATTTGGGTCGCCAGCAAATTTAAGAATTAAGTTTTATTTGAGAAATTTAGAGGTTTGTTAAGCACCTACGCGCAAGTGAATTATTGAAATAAAATTGTATCATATGTTAGTCCCGAAATTACCTGGTTGGTGTCGAGTGGACGTTAACCCCCCCCCCTCTCTCTCTCTAAATCTTGCATAATATATCTTTAATGAAACATACTGGCTTTCAATATATTTGTTTTTCGCCAAAATGTATGATAAATTTTATATAACAAAATGTTCATATTTTTTTTTCGCCAACTGCAATATTTTATCTGTCCAAAATGTATTCTTTGGGAGGCTTTTAGCAATTGACATACTTAATAATCACAAAAAAAAACATAATATGGAACACAATTACTATTTTAATTAAAGCAACGCTTCGTTGAGCGTTCTCTCAACGTTTGCTTGAAAACGATGAGAGAACGCTCAACGAAACGTCGCTTTAATTAAAATAGTAATTGTGTTCCATATTATGGTTTTTTGTGTTTAATGCTAAAAATGTGTTATAAACAAGACAACAGGTAACAAATTTATGTCTCAGGTTAATATATTATAAAACAGGTAGGTATATTATAAAACTGATATATACAATAACTTAAAATATCTGAAGAGCCCCGGGGAAGAACGATCTAAGTCACTTTTTCAACGAACCTCCAGTTAATGGAGCCATCTGGTAGCAAATTGTATAAGGTTTCTGTGGAACAATCAATTTCCGGTAAAAACGATCGGAGTCATATCGAACCAAGGCCTTTCTGAAATGGCCTCCCGGACAAATCCGTCCATCGTACCCTTTATTTGACCTTAATTTGGCTGAAAAGTGGAAGTCAATTGTTGTACTGGTAATTATGATTCGTATTAAACATCATTTTGAAGTTGTAATTAAACCCACTCGTTGTTCTGTTCGCGTCAAGCATCCTCGTCCAAAAGTATGTTTGCCTTTTATGCGAAAAGACAAAAATGTGACTTAGATCGTTCTTCCCCTGGACTCTTCATCTGTCTTTACAGAATACATTAGCACAGTTTTGATTTACTACGATCAGATTTCAATGGGGCGCCCATACTGATATGGGCACGTTGGGCTTCGTATTGCGTCCAATGGAAAGGGCGCCTTGCTCCCATGGGCACGTTGGACTTCGTATTGCGTCCAATGGAAAGGGCGCCTTGCTCCCATTGCCCTCTTCCCCACTAGCTACGGACCTGCTTTGTCTGTCTCATATTATCTCTGTCGACGATCACACATTAAATTGTGCAGGGGTGGTCCTTTGGTGCGGGATAACTACAGACAATTTCACAGCCATTATCTTTAATGTGTGGAGTGAAACTGTTCGTGATAAAATCTCTGACAGACTAATCCTTTATACAAATGGAAAAAACAAACAAAAAAAATAGAACGAGAAGCCGATATTCGCCTCGGGGTATCCGAGTAACTGTCATATGATAGCAGATAATGGGAGAAAGCCGTAATGACCAGGAAGTCGTATCATCAACTAGGACACATCCATTTATAGAAGTACGAAGGGTTACGAATGTATTTTCAGATTAAAATGAAGTAGACAAATGGCTTGTATGGAAAGCAATGAAATGGGGTTAACTGTTCTGCTGCGACTGGGTTAATGAAGACGTGCATACGCCATACATTGTGCCATGAGGGACATTTTGTCCGGACAGCGATGCTACGGTTTACTCTTATATCGAATTCTAAATGCGTACACGGGACCTGGGTTTTCGTACCATACGAAGTACTAGACAGCCCTGCAACACTGACAAGCGGAAACAAGGCCGAAATCACGATGACCTATCTCGGCCAACACCGAGGTCGAACCCGCGATCTCTAGGCTAGCGAGCAAACATCTTACTAACTTAGCCACCGTGGCTCCAGATGAATGACTTGTAATAACTGATGATCAAACTCTACCACTCTCCCTTTCCTTGCAATACTAGGGTGCCCCGTGCAGCGAAAATTGTCCCTACAGAAAGTTTAACTCGACAGCTTTAGAAATTACGTTCTTTTTATTTTTTAAATTGCTTTATCATTAACTGTACGGGGGGTTGGGTGGCCGAATTGTTAGCACGCGCGCGCTGTATCATACGGTCTGTCATTGAGTCAACTGGCGGGGTTTCGATTCTCCGGTTGTACGTGACAAGGAGTAGGGTCGCCTGTCCAACCTCGTGGGCATCTTTCGGTTTAGTACAATAGTATCTCTGAAACACTCGGATTATGCAAGAACGTGATACTAGCAGTAGTTTCATTTTATTTTTACAAGATTCTTAAATCAATGGTTGAGTGGCCTAACGTGTGGGTTTCTAAATGCAATTTCTTGTTCCAGCTTTCTGTTATGTTTCGTAAAAAAGTAATCTGTCAATTAGACGTAGAATGGTCAGTAGACTGGTTAAATGACTAATTTCAAAACAAGGGCACGTAACCTATTTTTTTCTCAAAAGTGTCGGGATGTTATGGCTGACGCTCGTAACCATCTTTCAGTGTATTATTTATGGATGGTTAAATGGTCATAGCTTATTAAGATCAGCATGACCGTTTACTTGGTGACTATAAATGTGCGAAACTGATTAAAAGCTTGGTGTATATATAAATATTGTCGTGTAATTGTCGAGATATTTATTTATGGTGGGGCACCCTATCAATACAAATATAGGCATCTTTGAAATGACGTCGGGCATACGCCATTCTGTCGTCTATGCGGCACCTCCTTTATTCGTCCCATCCGAACAATGCTATTTCCAGCTTGAACGTGACAATGGGTATGGTCGTCTGTCCAACCTGTTGGAATTTCGGTGGGTCCTCCGGTCCCTCCCCTTCCCACTGCTAAAGACCACTTCGCGCAATCGAATTATTGAAATAAAATCTTTCATTATGGAGGGGGGGGGGGGAATTGCTGAATGGTTAGCACATGCGCGCTGTATCATAAAGCCTGTCATTGATTCAACTGGCGTGGTTTCGAATCCCCCGTTGTACGTGACAAGGAGTAAGGGTCGCCTGTCCAACCTCGTGGGTTTATTGAAATAAAATTAAACCACATGTTAGTCCCCAAATGACCTAGTTTGTGTCAAGTGGACTTTAAACCCCATTTCTCTCTCTCTCTCTCTCTCTCTCTCATTATGAAAGAGCCTAGTAGGTATTTATTAGGCCTTATATTAGGCTAATATCTTAGCTTTCGTTAGATCTATTTCTTTGTACAGAAAACTGAACCGTGGAAACTGTCTATTTATTTTATATTATTAATATTTATCTAAAGAAGTTAAAGATGCAAATGTTGTTGTGTAATCAGTCCTGAAAAAATAATCCGATTTCTGTATTATCACGCGATTTTATATAATCTGCTTTCTATTGACAGGTGAAGATGACTAGATGATGTAACCTATAGTCTTATATATCCAGTGCAGATTAATTAAGCCAATAGAAGCCAGCGACTATTGTTGAACGAGTGTTGTGGATACACGATTTTCTATTGATACGTTTCTCAGTTGTATTGGCGGGGCTTCAATCGCCTTCATATCATTGACCGACCCCGTCTAACAAGTTTCTTTTGCGCGATCAATAGTCGCTCCGTTACAAAAAGAATGCGGACTATCCTTCGCGTAGTCAACGACTTTGGTTTACAACACGAGGAACCGGTGTAAGTCGGGAGTGATAAGAATATTGGAAGCGCTGTAATCTGCTCTAATTGATCGAGCATTCTGAAAACAAGTGTATTGTCTGGATGACGTTGTCAAGTCATTCTGTCCAGTAGCCACACTCCAAGTCTTATCCAAGACATTAATTATGAAGATATGATGGAACCGGGAACAAATTGAAATTCAATAGTTTCTCTGTTGACATAGTTTCTTCCTACGACTTCCAGGCAAAGGTTAATAATATCATAATGTTTTTCCCTTAGATCAATAGCCGTCATTGTTGCCATGTGTTTTAAACTTCTTTGGTGAAACCTTTGATGGATGATTTCACGACTCAATAGGATTTATCTGAAAAAAAAGAAAGAAAAACTAGAATTGAGTTGATCATTTGTGTACAGTTAACGGGGTCTATACTGTGAACAGCGATTAAACAGTGGTTTTAGCTGACTGATCAGTTTCAATACGAATCAATTTTTAATTATAACAGAATACACATTATCAACGTCCTATTCATCGAGAGCTATTATTGGTGCATCACTGCGATAAATTACTAGAGAGTTATCGAGGTGGAATTCATCCTCTTATAATAAAATACAGCATCACTTCGATAAATTACTGGTGAGCCAGCGAGGAGGAATTCATCTTCTTATTAAAAAAAATACAGCATCACTACTGCCGTGGGTTTTGTTTTGTGGATTTGTGTAAAGTGTTTTGATACAGATATGTGACCGATCGAATTTTTATTTATATTTACAAGGGTGTTTATTTCAACAAGGTAATAAATCAACATGACGGAATCTGAAGATACCTACATAGGATTGATTTTAAACTGGTTAATTAACAATAACAGCACCCCCGGTGTCGATTTCACTCAGCCATTTGTGAGGCGTTCCCTGCAGTACGTTTATCCGCTGTTTATGTTCATACATGCTGTAGTGGTGTTAGTCGGAGTGATCGGTAATGTCGGAATGCTTGTTGTCATCGTTAAAAGACGCTTATACCACGACCAAACCTACTTCCTTATGTGCAACATGGCTTTGTCCGATCTCATCAAATGTATTTTTGTCCTGCCGATTACGTTAGCTAATCTTCTCATTCAGAACTGGCTGTTCGGCAGTTTTATGTGTTTCTTCTTACCGATGATGCAGTGTTTTCCATTCCATGCCTCCATGTTGACGTACCTCATGATCGCCATTGACAGGTACCGATTGATCGTTCACCCATTTAAGTCACGTCTGCCGGCCGGTTTGTGTGTTATTGGTGTCTGGGTGGCCGCCGTCTGTGTTGTTCTCCCATACGCTGTGTACATTAAATATATCGATCTGGGAGCCTCTCTTGGTAAAAACTTTGATGGAGTCGGCATCTGTTATGTAAACGTTGAGAAACGTATTGAGGAGTACATTCGTGCCATTTTTGTGACACTATACGCCATGCCCTTGGCAATAATCGCCTTCCTTTATGTGAGAATATCAGCCGAACTGAAATCACGCGAGGGATCCTCGGTATCCATTCATTTTGACGGAAGTGAGGTGATGCAAAGTATGACGGGACGACCATACGACACCAACATCACGTGGTCGAGTACAAACGGGGCTACGGCAACAACAAGGCTCGATCCAGACGCTGGTCCCAGTGAGTCAACAAGGGTCAAATCCTATAACGAGGCTGCTACCCAGGATAGTGACGATGACCTCGACCTTGTGAAAGAAAAACGCACACAAAACTATCTGATAGCCATGACTACGTTATTCGCTATGTGCTGGTGCCCGTTACAGATACTGATATTAGTGAATTATTTCGTTCATGAGAATGATCATAACGAAGGACATTATGACATAACGTATATAACCTTTTCGTGGTTCGGTTTTCTGTCCACATGCACCACTTCGATTTTGTTTGCTTCTTGGCGCATGTCCAGCGCGACCAAAGACCGTCTTAGGGGCTACTTCCGATTTAGTAACAGACGGAGAAGTTCGCTACAGGTAAGCCGACGTCACGAGCGTGCCCCTTCTTCACGCACACCTTCCACCGTTACCACCTGTACAATCCAAGAACACAGTCCTCGCCAATCTCTTACTCCTCACTTTTAGTGAAAGCTTCCTGCTGCTTCAGTATCTTCATCTGCTATCTGCTTATCTTTTCCATCTTTGTGTAGATTAGATGAAGCACTACGCACACTCCCCAGAATACATATCTTTATATCGACCGCATTTGCTAAAACGGTATCCCATTTTGTTTCAGAGAAGACGATACCAAACACATTATCTTAACGGGGCTACCCGAACGAACTTTGAGGAAATTGTTGACGCCAAAACTGTTCGAGAAGCTGCTTCGGTTTAAAACCAAATATTTATTATGTGTTTTCAATGATATATGAAATGCCAATATATAATATAATTTTGTAAGATAATTTATCTATTTATTTATTTATTTATTTATTTGACCATATAACCAAAGTTTATGAATATAATACTGTACAATCTGGAATTGTTGCAGATATTCTTGTATTTATTACCCATGAAAACCTCGTCCCAAAAGAGGTTTTACTGTTTTAGCTATGATAGGTGGTGCGTCAATCGTTCGTGAAGCTTTTTTTTAAAAAACCAACTCGAATGCGTTACCCATGAAGACCTCTTCCCAAAGGAGGTTTTGCTGTTTCAGCTATGCCATGTGTTTGCACCAATTCCATGGAACAATAATAATTATTATTATCTGTTAAAACGAATCAGACACAGCAATGCCAATATGTAATATTAAAACCAAAGTTTATGAAATGTAATACTCTAAAATCTTGAATTATTGCAGATATTCTTGCATTTGTTATCCATGAAAACCTCTTCCCATAAGAGGTCCTACTGTTACAGCTATGATTGGTAGTGTGTCAGTTGAATAGAAAAATCATTCGTGGAGCGTTTTTTAAAACTTAAAACAACTGGAATGTGTTACCCAATTTGTGCATCAATTGCATAGAAAAATCTTTCGTGAAGCTTTTTTTTAAAAACAACAGGAATTTGTTACCCATGAAAACCTCTTCCCAAAGGAGGTTCTATTTTTACAGCTATGATTGGTGTTGCATCAATTGCATAGCAAAATCATTCTTGAAGCTTCTTTAAAACAACTGGAATGCTGCAGTAGTTTCGCCTTTAACAATATTATAATGTTCTTGTTGATGTTACAATAATTGCCGTTGGTCTTCATTAGAACATGAATCCAACATATCGTTTGATTTATCTCCCAATAAATTGTGTGTTTATTACTATTATTTTAATTAGAACTTCTATCACTGAGTCATGTAATTTACTTCTAAAGAATCAAATTGGCGTTGATAAAACAAAGCTGATTAAAACACATATCCTATTTCGTTTCGTTTTATATAGTTCAAAATTACGTTTTACATGTCTTCACAACACTAGGATCTGGAAGAGTTGTTAATGTGAGGGATTAGCCAATGAAACGATCTGTTACGGCGAGTTCTTGGCGTGCGATGCACGGAACTGTGGGTAAAGCACTAGAAACGTCAACGCTGGTTGATTTATCAATGTCTGGCGTAATAGGGTCAAAAGACCTCTGACGCGACCTCCCACTACAACCGGTCAGATCTTCTTGTAGTGTAGGTCATCGAAAGTATAAAAAACGAAACGAAATATAGATCTGTATTTAAACAGATTGTCTTTTATTATCTACAAAGATAAAGATGTTCCTTTGTTCATTAGACAGTCTTGTACCGGGTTTTATTTCTGTAACATTGGGTTCTAAAAGGAATTGTGCGTTCTGTTATTTGCAGCGGGGAGTCGTCAAGAGGGACAGAAATGTGTCGAGATGGGGACGAGAGAAATGGGGTTTATTCGGGACTAACATATGGTTCAATTTTTTTTTAATAATTCGCTTGCGCGTAGGGGGCTTTAGCAGTGGGAGGAGAACTGGAGGACCCGGAGAAAACCCACGAGGTTGGACAGGCGATCCTACTCCTTGTCAGGTACAAGCGGGGAATCAAAACCACGCCAGCAACAGGAGCAGGTACTAATAATGCCCCCCCCCCCTACGCGCATGCGAATTATTGAAATAAAACTGAACCATATGTTAGTCCGGAAATGACCGTGTTGTGTCGAATGGATGTTGACCCTATATATAATTTGAACGGTTAAGAGATATGATCCGGGGAAAAAAATCGGGACGGAAGGACACCAATTCACTATTTCTCCATAACCTTGGAATAATAAGGGCTAAATCTATTTGTTAAGGCCAGCTCAACGTTTGTCAAGGCCGCTGAGATGTAAACAAGATATTGTTTAGAAATCGAAAAATAAATAAATCATGTCGGAGTTCTTATTTTATGCTTCGTAGATTTGTCATATTCGATCCAAAACACTAACAGAAGCCTTTCATGGACAACAAAACCAAACAGTTTATGACGTAACTTTCCAATTAAACCATGCGCTACATGTCGGCAGTGACGTCAGCAAGTCTGTTTTAATTGAATTATAAAAGATTTTCTTTGTAGTATAATGACGTACTGACATATTCAAACAATGTTCTTTTAACAATTAAGAGGGCGTGTAATTGTTCTTCTGTCTAACATGGTGTTTTGATTTTGTTTTTAAAAGAGTGAGCAAAAAAAAAAAAAAAATCAATGCGCGTCACTATTATTATACTAATGTAGGTTCTGATAATGAGGCCGGCCATTGGAGACATTAGAAACTAGTATAACACAATCCGTGGAAGTGCGTCATAAAATTGAACATGGATTTATCATTAACACTCGAACGCTTCTACAATATATTTACTTTTTGTTAAGAAAACCGGATTTCACTACTCTGAGAGCGAATCGATTATAGCGATGTTCGCTTAGTAAAGAGGTGCGCCATCCTACTAAATACCACCCAGTTAAAACAACACGGTCATTGTTTTTAATAAGCATTATGTTAGAGCTAAATCTGCCTATTGATGTTTTTTTGTCTATCTTCAAATGTTATATTAACTAATATTTAGTCATTTCTTCACATGGCATGACCATAATGAACTCTTTAGATTATCGGATGGCACAGATTTGAATGGATTAGAACGCCCGCGAGATTAAAAAGAATTTAACGATAACGATAAAATGGATAATAAACAATCTGCCCTTCGTCTTTATACACTGATAACTTGGCTCAGAATAAATTAATTTGAATCAAATTTTCAATATATTCATTTTTCATTATCTATTTTTGAACTATTATGTAGTATAAACGACCAGTTCTTTATCTAAAGCTTACCCCGTCTTCATTAACCCGATTGGTGCAGAACAGTAGGACGTTAAACACCCATTTCATTTCATAAAATCTTACATAATGCATTTTTAAACCGTGACAAATTAGACATTGTCTGTGTTATGAACTAAAAAACTATTATTATCATATTTCTAATTCGTTTAAATCTCTGTCGTCCGATGGTCTAGAGAGGGTTGATTATAGGCTTGTCATGTTAATAAATGTCTCAATAATAATTTATATAACATATGAAGCCAAATTAAAGACCTGTTATGGACAGACGTAGCTCTTACGTAATGTATCTTTAATAATAATAATAATGGTACATCATTAATTTCACAAAGCAAAGTTTATGTTCACATTACGCATCCCCTGTTCTTGAAAATTTCGTATTGAAGTAGGGTATATTTTCATATATAATTAACATACTTCTACAATATTAAATAAATTATACTTAAAAGTATAAAAATAATATACAGCAAAGGACGCTTCTAGTGTCTCTTTAATACGTCAACATTCTTATATAACAGAGTTAAGCTGTTATCTATCAACGTCAACAAGGAAATGTTACTTTAGTTTTAAAATAAAATATACAATTTAAATTTTATTAATTAAATTACGTATGCAAATTATATATGAAAATATACACTACTACAGTATACTATGTGATAATTTTACATATTAAAGTCTATGTTTGTCATTTGTGTTTTTTTTTTTTTAGAGAATATCTAATTTTTCACAGGTTAATCCATGCTAAAATTTACTTATTAAAATCAACACTTGAAATGGCATTAGATTAAGATTAGATAAAGAGCTGTCTGTTTGCGCTATAATAGTTACAAAATGTATAATGAAAATAGAATACGCTGAAAATTCCAGTCAAATTACTTCACTCTGAGCCGAGAGTAAAGAGAGTGTCGGATATTGGGGAAATTTGCAACTCACCATTTCTTTGTACATACTGAACGGAAACATTCATTCCTATAGCTTCAACCTTCACAATATTCTAGACTGCATATCATTCAAAGTTCCTCAATTACTGACGGTCGATGACATTCATATTTCAATTGTGTTAACAGGGTCTTCTATTCTATCAAAATAAAATTATTTATGTCGAAAGTTTTCATAATATTTTGATACTCTGTCATGATTTACTTACATTTTCCCAAATATATATTTTTCAAAATGTAAATGAAATGTTCTGACTGAAATTAGATTTTATTGTGCAAAATAAATGGCATTGGTGCCAATTAGCACATAACGCTGTAGGCGTTTTTTATTCGAATGACGGAAGTCTATATCAAAAACAAAAATTAGAAACCGTTAGTAAGAGTTGATATGAATCTCAGATTCATCTTTAGATGGAATGTCTTGCCATGAGCATAATAATGAGATTCATCTATTTCACCACCAGCGTTAACAAGATCCTCTGTCCAATTATGTTGCTTGTACTGAATATAATCCTCTAGATAGATTAGAGCGGATTTTAGATACCTAGTAATTTACTGTTTGTGAGAGATTGTTATTTTAGGGGCATTTATAACAAGTAGCAATTGTCGAGAGTTCAGTAATCTGAGATCATATTGAAGCAGCAAGTTGATATAATCAATATTTTATTCAAATACGACCCATTTTACATTTTAGAAAAGAATGTAAGGATTTAAAAAAAAACATACCAAAGGCTTATACTGTTATTAATTCGTCAGTTTGTCAAACATATGATAAAATCTGTATCATAGGGAACAGCGTGGAGCTGGGGTGGAGAGAGAGCGAGAGAGAGGGAGAGAGAGAGAGCGATGGGTTTAACGTCCACTCGACACAAACTAGGTCATTTCGGGAATAACATGGTTCAATTTTATTTCATCAATTCGCTTACGCTTAGGAAACCGGACCTACTCCTTGTCACATACAACCGGGGATTCGAAACCTCGCCAGTTGGATCAATGACAGACCTTATAATACAACGCGCACGCACTAACCATTCGGCCATCCAATCCCGAAAGAGCTGGGGTGAAAAAGGGACTTTACGGTTGTGGAATCTTTTAAGCTTTAAACCATACAGAATCGTATCACTGGAAGGGTGGCAGTTGAGAAAACCTGCTAAAAGGGAGCCAAGATAGTCCCCATAACAAGCCATCTTAATATTACAAATTATGCATTAAACAGGCATCGTGTAAGAGCTAAATCTGCCTATTGAAGGTCTTTCTTAAGGCCTGAAATGTTATCTAAATTATAAATTAAACATCAATTAACTTATCCAGGCCAAAATCAACTCTCGATGCCATGGGATGGTTCCGATTATAAGTAAATTAGAACGGTTGGACCATTTTATAGTTTAATTTAAAAATGGAGAAGCGAGGCTAAGACTCGAATGGCTAATACACAGGTTACGATAAATATGCACACATCTTGTCAAAACTACAAACATTGATACCTTCGCTCAAAATAAAGTAATTTGAATGAAATTTTCAATATATTCTTTTTGCATTATCTCTTCTTGAAATATTATAGAAAGAACCACGAGCTCTTTATCTAAATCGTAAATAATGCCCCCCTTTAAGATACAATGAAATTGGATTTGTAGGAACTCATGCTTTCGAGACTGGGATTAATGCCAGAGAATAAGGAGATTTTGGAATTTATTATTATGGTTGTTGAAAACAAAACAGACACGCTCCTTTAGGGACCATTCTAATCCCATTAGACAACAGAAGTGTCATTCTGTTAATAGTGTTTATTTTTGAAACATATCTGATCAACAGCTTATAGATAATTTGGGTTTTTCAAAAGCTAGACAACAGACGAATGGTTGGATTATTTCGATAATTGATTAAATATTGATGGGCTGAGCTGCCAGCTTCAAAAATAGGACGCCCACGATTTCTTTCAATTAATCAATATCAGGCATTGTACACTGCGCTAATATAATTTTACTTCTTACAGTCAGT